GATATGAGTTCCTCTATGTCTTATTTAAGTTTTGAAGACCTTTAATACAGCAGGCTGTTTAGCTTTTTCTAGGAAAATCTTCTATAAGGCCAGAAGACTGTTGTTCTATTTGCCATGGTGCCACTCACGATGCAACGCCTCAGCTTCCTGTACAACTGTCGGTACAAATAGCCACTATGGCTTAGGAGTCCTACCAGCCCTACTGCCTGTTAATTCTCCACACCAGCTCTTCTGATTTTCTCTTAGCTCAAACCAGACGGGGTCAGTGGCAGGTGGTACTGCAGCTGTGGGTAGATACTCGGGCTCCCCCTGCTGGGTCCATGCCGTCACCATACCCATTCAGGTCTGGGAGCCACCCTCTGTAGCTCCTAATGATAACTTAGCCCTAGGGTGGTTAGGCTGTTTGAGGGTAACTGAGCCCAACAACGTTCATAGCTTGTAAATTAATAAGCTACTGGAGAGCACACTGTGTTGTTGTAAATATACACATAACTCAATGAGAGCAGGGGATGCTCTGCGGCAGAATGAGGCCAGGTGACCAGTTTACATTGGAACTGGTGAAATCTTGATCAGTAGCTCCACCAGTAGAAGGCCATTATATATTCCTTGAAACTGCTGTTGCAAAGGGTGTGTCTAGTTTCAGTTCTCTTCCAGAAAGTGTCTAAAACCTGAGCCCTCTATTGTTCCTGCCAGAGCCAACTCATGCCATCTAGTGGCATCTAACTGCACTGGCATGCCTGACAGGGGTGTCAAAAGCCTGTGCTGCAGCTATCAAAATCTTTGTCTTTTCAAATGCTTCTTGTCAGGTCACATCTCGGCCCCATGTGGCTCCCGTCTTAATTCACTGATACAGTTGCACAGGCACAGAGAGATACATGAGAAATGCAAGTCTGTCAAAAAGCAAGGAACCCCGCAAAAGTCCTTAACTGTGTGAGGAATGGGGCGGGTTTGGACTTTATCTGTCTCTGGGCCTGATATCAAACAGCCCTACCCAACCTGAGCACTCCCAGAAACTTCATAGATGGGACAGCACCTTGACTCTAGAGTTGACAGCCCATCACCTAGGCCATAGGTGACCACACAGTCATATAATCTTCACCAGAGAGCATGATATCATCTATATGATGGAACCAGATAACGGCAGTATGGAATGAGAACAGAGGTCCCAAGCCACCTTGCTATGGCAGACAATAGGACTGTGTGGATGTCCCTGAGGCAATATTTGGGATGCCCCTTGTATTCCCTCCCAAGTGAAGACAAGCTGGTTCTGGTTCTGTAAATGTGTTTGTAAGGGAAAGTTGAAAGGGGCACTAGTAAAGTTTAGGGCAGCATGCACAAAACCAAGAGAGTAGGATTTTTTTTTCCACCTGAGTACTGCAGCATAGATAGGACGGATCATCTCGCGTCCTTGCAGTCAACAGTCATTTTCAAATTTCTGTCCTGCTTTTTCCCTAGCAGACTGGGCTACTGGAGGCAATCTCAGCAGGCGGTAAATCCCCAGTTCACTCCAGTTCTTCTCTGGGCTTTCCAATCTCAGCATGTCCACTGCAAACTTATAACCATCGTATTCATTACCTGCTTAGATGTAGGAAGGCCAACAGGGTTCCACTTTGCTTCCTCCACTAATGTCACCTTTACTACCTGAGCTTTGGATTTGAAATTCTCCCATAGAGATCTGTAATGTCTTTCCTAATAACTGTTCATCTTCAGAATGCTTCTAGGGACTGGAGAGATTAGTAAAACATATATATATATGGAGCTGGGAAGGGTATCCTATCCTGATTCCTAGATATAGCAATAAGTTCTTCTGATGTCATATCCTTGTATCTATCAATAGCTGCCCAGGGCCCTAGCAAGAATTCTGATTTGTAGCTCATCTGTGTATATTTAGCACCTGTATCTACGGGAGGGAGAGTCTTTCTCTTGTTCTTGAAGGACTCCTCTGGTTGCCCCTACAGCCCTTACTCACAGGCGGTGCAGACTCCTTTCCATCAGCTGACAATGCTGGAATGAGGAAATTCTCACTTTCCCAAGCAGGAGGAGCAGGAAGAAAAGGCTGTGGAGGCTTGAGCTCCTTCCACGGCGCCACCAAGCTCACATTAGCGCACAAGCAAATCCCATCACCTCTGTACTGCTTTCTTAGCTGCCCGATCCCACTTCTTTTCACTCTCCTTTTTGTCTTTTTATTGGCAGGTTTGGTAGCAAGGTGCACCCTTGTGGCACTAAATTTTTTCCCTTTTCTCTTCTTGGGAGGCCCCAGGCTCACAGACTAACATAAGACAGTTTTAGTTTGGGGGTTTCCTTCATGGGAGGGAATGTAGGTGATTTACAAAGAAACCTCCCGCTTCCGGCCCGCCCACAGTCTCCGATAGCTTTCGCCCACCGCCCAGCCCCAGGTAAGTAAACGCTCCATCTCGTTTCCACGCTTGTGGGACACCCTGGCCGTTTTCCTAGGCAGCCGCACACCTCCTCAGGTTCATTCCAATCTCCCACCACACTAGGCTCCACCCTTCTTCCCAGGGTGCCCTGTGCTAGCCGCATCTCTTCCGAGGAGTAAGTCGGGAGGAATAAGTTGTTTCCGGCTATAGCCCTGTCCCGTTCCTATTTATTCTCTTCCAGGTTGGTACTACATTATAAAAAAATCCTGTCCAACAATCTGGCTGTGGACTGAGGGAAAAGGGCTGTATCATTCTCAAGGGAGAATTTAGTAATGTTTTCTATTTCTGGACTTTAAAAAGAGGTTTTATTATGTCCTTGAACCACAGGAGAATAAATGCCTGTCGTGTGCCCATTTCCCAGACTACCCTGGGCTTTGTCCTTTGTCAAAGTTTTCTGCCCAGGGGGAGGCAGCACCTGTCCTGGTGGATCTCTCATTTGGCCACACCTCTTTCACCCACGATGACCCAGTCTAACAGCATGATCTTAGGCATCCTGTGGGCAGCTCCCTAAGGGCTTGGATGAATGGTAATATTGCTCTTTTCTGTTTCATTTCCTGCCATATAAATGCCAGCCCTCCCATGTGTCAGTCTTAACCACCCAGGTAGTTGTTTAAAAGTTTTCTGCAACATTTAGAGCTTCTGCAGTAATACTCTTATCAGGGGGGGTTCTGGCAAGGGGGAGGTTCTGGCAATGGGGGGGGGCTCTTCATGCCCCTGTGTTGCAGTAACAGGCAAAAAGGCCAGTCTCAAGGTATGCAGAGGGGCTTTTCCTCACCGCTGCCTTCAAGAGTCCTAATGTTTTTCATTTGGTTCTGGTCACGAGGTGATGGGTCAAACCTGATTGTTCAAACCTCTTTTCTCTTCTTGTTCTGACCTTGTAGTGACACCAGGCAACAAGCTGTAGTTTCTAGCTCGGCATTCTGAGGTCCACTTTTTTACCAGAGTTTAGAAAGAGTCAGGGAAGTGAGAGAGACACACTTTTTTCAACACAACTATTCTGTCTTTATATTCCTTTTAAAATTTATGTGTACGAGTGTTTTGCCTGCATGTAAGTGTATTCCTATGGAGTCCAGAAGAGGGCATCAGCTCCCCTAAAACTGGAGTTATGGATGGTGATGGGAACCGAACTCAGGTCCTCTGCAACAGTGCTCTTAACTACTGAGCCATCTCTCCAGCCTTCTTTGTTCTTGTATGCAGTAAATGGCCATCAGAACAGCCCACAGCAATGGCTGTGTCACTGCAGCAGCAAGATGTCATCCTTTATGACCTCAGTAGGATAAAAGGCAGTCAGCCAACAGCTGCCCCAAACCCAGCAGCAATTTTGAAGTGCCCTACTCATTCACAGTGGGCCATGAACATTTAGCACACAACCCACCCCTCCCAGTGGAGTCAGATGATCACCTTCAGACTTCTTTCCTCATTTGTCTTCAAACAACTGTCTCTGTGCACGTGAACCATCCTGAAGCGTGACTAGGAAAAAAATAAAAGAGCCAGCAACATGGCTTGGTGGGTCAAAGGTGCCTGTCACCAGGCTGACACAGCTAGCAATAGCGCTGAAATCAAAAATCATGTTTTGCAAAATCTAAACTCCATGCAAGTTCTATGACATTAACACCCCAGTATTCTAGATAAAAAAGTAATATATCAGGCAAAATAATAATAGTGAAGTATTTTATTTTTGGATACCATATAATAGAAGTATTTACAGCTGCCTAACCACATAGGAAAAGATGGTTAAAAATAGAACTATTTGATTCTAGTATTGATTTTGACATACAAGAAGATAGTTTAATAATTTGAGAATTTCATACATGCACATAAGGTGTTTTGATCAAATCCATGCCCACTCCCTCCCCTCCAACTCCTCCCCATATCTCCCCATCACTTTTTTCTGATAACTTCATTTTTTTTTTTTTCAAATGGGGCTTTTTGCTACTCTAACATTCCTCCCTCTGAGGAGGTAACCCTAAAATCTTTTAAGGATAAGAGCTCCCAAATACTTTCAACATTTTTGGCCTTTGGAATGGAGAATGTTGCTAAGAGGCCCAAGGACATTTTGACTTTCAGCCAAGAAATTGGTTACCCTTCTTTGGGGTCTTTTTACCCTAACTGCCTAGTCAATTCCTACCTTCTATTCTTATCACACCATTCTCCAAAGAGGTTGCCCAACTTGTGGATAGGGAATCCGGACACAGGGTGAGGCAACTGGAGTACCCCCTTCAGTGGGTCTATCGAAAAGATTCCCAAATCGCATAACTCTTATCACCATGTGGAGGCAGGATCCAGGTGCTGTCAGGCAGTCCTGAGTTCTCAGCCCCTAGTCCAGGGGGAGGCCGGAACAGGCACTCTCTGGCGGTCTGCTAAGATCTCCAAGAAAATGGTTTTGACTGATAGTGTGCAAATACAATTATACACTGATAACAATTTTCATGTTTTCTTAAAATTACTGTGTGGAACCAAAACCAAACTAGGTGTAATTTATTCACATGGTGCTAGATTTGAAAAAAAAGAAAAAAAAGAGCTTGCAAACTTTCCATCCATTTTGTCTTCAACAGTACAACTGCCTCATTCCATCACTAAGAGGAACTCCTCCTGGACATCGTCCACGTCATTTCCAAGGGACTCTCCAGGGAAATACAATGCCTGCCTTTATCCCTTGGAAGACGCCGACAATCCCAATTCTCCCAGCTCCTTCCTTCTGTCCTGTGGAAATGTGCTTCTTTTGGGCCTAACAGATAAAAAATATTAGTAGGATCTTGAGAACCTAAATTATGGCCTCCCCATGTCATAAACTACAGAAATCTCAGTTACATGCTCCTCAGGCACCTATTTTTAACTATAAAAATCTGTATTTGCTTGGTCCTCTGTAGTCCTTCATTATTTATCTTCACAACAGCCCTTCGATTTACATAAGGAAGACAGCACTATAATCCTTTATAGCAGAAATTCAATTTCAGAGAGGTCACACAATCTACCCAAGAACCCACAAGTGCAATGTATCAGACTGAGCGGAACTCAATCTTGCCAAAGATTCTATTACTAGCTCGTGCTGTGCTCCTGAGTTTAAGAGAACGCAGTGGTGCCTCCCAGGGCCCTTCAGGGATTGAATTTCATGCTTCTACTTGCTATTTTTTCCTCTTCTTTCAACTGGCATGAAAACAGAAATAGATATATTTGATCACCAAATTTCACTTATCCTGGGTTCTGTTCATGTTTCTCTTATTTCTAAATTAGAGGAAAGCTAAGTAGTTCCTGCCTGTCTGAAAGCTTACCTATTTCTGTTTGTCAAAGGAGATTGCTAACATTTTATAGATACCACTGATTCCTCTTTGTAACTTTATTTCATACCTAAAACCGATTCAAAACAAAAGAAGGCCTTACAAATTCTTATTCAACAGAGCAGTAATGGACCTTTTCTACTGATGTTGTAGTCAGTTTCCTCTCTGAAATGTGGTCACTTTGCCTCACTGATAAGCATCTTTCCCTAAGAAGAAAACACCAGTCTTAGAGCAGTCAGGCCAGCTCTTGCTTATAAGGCCTCCTACAAAGAATCAACTAATCATCCTAACCTGGAGAGTGAATCTTCTAATGTTAAATGTACACTATGGGCCAATCAATGACACGTTATCTGTTACTTGTCATAAATTTATACGTGTGATCATTCATCCTAACATACATAGAACCCATGCAGAAGTCAAATTAAAAAAGGAAAAAATAATCCGATGAGTAATCCTGAAGAAGTCAAAGAGCTCAATACATAGTATGCTCTCAAAGCAGGGAGCACCAAATTCACAGTGATTTATATAATTAACATACTAAAAATGAGGACAGAGGGATCAGAAGTACACAGAGGAAAAGTCATTCTGTGATTTCTCTGCATTTTGACTGTATTGCTTTCTTGCCTTCATGAGGGAAGACTTTGACTTCAAAAGTAACAAAGTATTTTAAAAGTGCATTTACATCTTTCAGTTCTAAATGGTATTCTTGTGCTATTTTCTCAGCAGTCCATGTTTCTGGAGAAAGCTTATGATTATTGAGAAGTGTCAATGCCTCTACAACAGAAATTTTGCCTTTGGGGATGTCCATGGTATTCATATCAAAGTGATGGCCCACTGGCAGTCTGAATTCCTTTGGCTCTTGCTGTCGTTCAGTATCTTTTGCCTATACCAAAAAACAAACAAAGGGCTTTTAGGAAAAAAAGGTTTACATGTTCCTCAACTCTTAAATCTATGCTGTTTCTTTTCAAATAAACTTTTCACATACTTCCTCAAAGTACAATTTCTTATGATTGTCTTTTCCTAACTATAGCTTAAACTAATCAGAAAGTGTCCTGAGCACTAGAAAACTCTAATGGAAAGCATACCACTCATTCACCACAGCTGAGCATTCCTAATTGAAAAATTTAATATCCGAAGTGCTCTAAAATGAAAAAATTTCTGAGCACCAGCATGATGCCACAAGTAGAAAATTCCACACCCAACTTGATGGTCAGCAGTCAAAGTCAGGTATACAAAGAATACCATATAAACTTTTTCCTTTCACTTAAGTTGTACATGAAATATAAATGGATTTCATGATTAGAATTGGATCCTAGCACAACATACTTCATTATACACATAAAAATATTCCAAAATCAGAAAGAAAAAAAAAATCCAGTATCTGAAACACTTCTGATTCCAAGTATTCCAGATAAGGGACCCTCAACTTGTATATTTAAAGAATAACTGATTAGATTAAAACTGTACCTGCTTTACAAGGACAGGGTTCTAACAGTGATCTAGCAGCTGACTTGATGACTTCTGTTCTCTAGCTTCACATTTTTTATTTAATGCCCCAAACACCTTGAATGAACTGACACATTATCAGAGATGCTGCCTCAAGTCTCCAATATTCTAATATAAATAAAAATCAATTCATACACAGCGCCCCTCCCACCTGTCTGTCCCTCCTGAGCCTAACCCCGGCCTCTGAGCTCTGTACTACATTCTCCTGGCTAACTGTGCCAACCATTCCCGCTTTCTGTTTTCAATCACACCCTGCCTACACTGCTACTTGCTCAACAAATAAGAATTCTGTAATCATTACCTTTTTGAAACCCCCAACAAACCCCAAACCAACACTTATTTTAAGATCAGTTTCCTTCTCTTTTGCTAAAGTTTAAATCCAATGATATCTGCCTCTCTAATGATCCCCTGTTTCTAATGATTCCCTAGTTGCTTAACTCAGAGGTACCTTCAGACCTTACTTGAACTCAGGACAGCACCTCACTATAGCTCACACTGCTGACTATCTTGTACCAATCTACCTGCAACTACCAGCACCACCCCAGAGGTTCCATGTTATGCTTTTAGGTTCCATCTGCACTCAGTTTCTTCTTTGTTTTCTTAGTGCATCTTTCTCCTGCTGACAATGAAGTTCTATCTACATCTTCTTTCTCTGTATTTATTCTTTTATTTTTAAACAGGGTGTCATGTATTCCAGGCCAGCTTTCAACTAGCCGAGGATGACCTTGAACTTAAACTTCCGGTTATCCTATCTCTAGCTCGCAAGTGTTGGGATTACAGGTGTGTTCCTTTTTTTTGTTTTTTAATTGAGTGTACTGCCTGCCTGCATGTAGGTAGGGGTACCCATGTCCTGCAATGCCCTTGGAGGTCAGAAGAGGGCATTGGATACTTTGGAACTAGACTTACCAGTTAGCCACCATGTGGATGCTAAGAATTGAACCCAGGTCCTCTGAAAGAGCAGACAGTGCTCTTAACCACTGAGCCATCTCTCCAGCCCCACATGTCCCATTTTTATGTGGTACTGGAGATCAAATCCAGAGTCTGGTACATACCAAGTGAGTACTCTATCATTTGGGCCACATCTGTAGCCCTATGTACTTTTCTTACTCAACACATGCTTCCAAAGAAATCCCTCAGTTCCTTACCTTCCATTATGGTCTACATGTGATCATGTTCAAATCTACAGCCACAAACCTTTAGACATCCAATCCCCAAATCCCAAATGCCTAATAGGCATCTCTACTTGGATGACCTTATACACCTGAAATTCAGTGTCTAATAATGAACCTACCACCAATCTATCTGCTCCCATGTCCATGCCTCAAACTGAAGATTATAGCTAACAACTCCCCATTTTCTCTATTTGATCTATGACCAAATCCTGTTGAAGGCTCTTAAGTCTCTCTCAAACCCATTCGCTTAACCTCTACCACCATCAAAATACCCTAGTCCATGCCGGAGTCACATGAAGAACTATTAAAAACCACCTATCAGTTAACTTTGTTCCTCCTAGCCCTACTCACAAATATGCCATTATTTTGTTGCTTTTTCTGTTTTTTATTTTATGTGTATGTGTGTATTGCCCGAGTGTAGGTAAGTGTACCCATGTCGTGCAATGCCCACAAAGGACAGAAGAGGCTGTCGGATCCCCTGGAGTTACAGACAGTTGTTAGCTGCCATGTGGGTTCTGGGATTGGAACCTGGGTCTTCTGCAAGAACAACCAGTGTTCTTAACTCCTGAGCCATCTCTCCGGCCCTGTTGCTTTGTGTTTTTTTGATACAAGGTCTCCTTGTAGCCCCACCTGGCCTGGAACTCACTATGCAGATCAAGCTGGCCTCAATATCACAGAGTTCCACCTGCCTCTACTTCCTGAGTGTTGGAATTAAAAGGCCTGTGCCACTGCACCCAGCTGAAATCTGCCATCATTTTTCTACACTGAACTCTTCAGTGACTTCCTAAAGCCCTCCTGTTAAAACCAAAATTCTTTGACAAGGTAAGAACTTTCACAACCTGGCCATGACACTCTACCCACACTCATTTCTTCCAGAGACAGCCCTCCCACTGTCCCTAACCATGTAAGTTCTAGCCACTCTCCAAAGCATCGCTCACCCTACCACTTCCATACCCTCACTGGCATCAAGCACTTTTCCCAACTGTTTCTGCTAAGCAAAAAATCTGGGAATTGTAGTTCACTGTCCCTTAGCAAAACTCTTCTCCCTAATCACGATCCTCTCCCAGATTCCAACTTCAATTCACTCTCCAGGCCCAAGTTCAAATGTCAGTTCCTCACCAGTTATCTGTCCCTTATCCTCCAGTTTCAAATAGGTGACTCTGATACGGTCTCACAGTGCCTACGGTTACATTACAGTTGAATGGCTGCTCATCTGCGTAACGTCTGAGGCCTTCAACGTATCAGAAGCCTCTGTGAGAGTAGGAACAAGGTCTGCTTTATTCATCAGTACATCCAAACACTATGTTAGCAAGTATGTTACATACCTAGCACTCTAACATGTTATATGAACTTACAGATAATACTTAATTCATATCCTAATATATCCTGGAAAATACAAGTATGCCACACAAATCCAAAGCACTAATGGTATTCTTGAGATTAGAACATATCTTAATTTACAGAAGAAATGAAAATAGCTCTAAAGGTCTTATTGTCACTAAAAGTACCTTAACCAAATCCTCCAACTTCTGAAATAATGTCAAGTAATTCACTTTTATTCAATCAATACTTTCACAACAATGGTAGTCAATGAATCACGTATCTCTCGGAGAACACTGCTCTCTCCTAACATTTACACTATTTTTTGCACTTATTCACTCCCTCGTTTCACCACCTGCCCTATTTTTCTTAACCATTTTCCCAGAGCCCCAAAGTAAACTATTTGTTTAGGGAATTAAAGCATCCATTACCCGCAAGGAGGACACAGGATCTTTGGAATCGACATACACATCTTTTAGTAACGACAGCAGCTTGTTATCTTTTCTTGCAATTTCTCCCTCAATTTCTGGATGGTCTACGGAAAGAAAAAACGCCACATTACTTTTTAAAATGGGAAATTTTCTTTAAAACCCTAAACACTTGAGATTTAAAAAGAAACAATCATTTGGGCAGCTCGGAAAATATCGGGAATGTAAATCACAACACTACGGCCAGGATGGTGGGGACAGGCCTCCCCGCCCACGAGCGTGGAGAGGTCAAGTCAATGTCACCGGGGTCGGGGCGTGGGGAGGAGCCGCGGCCCTGCACTCACGGCTCAGCTGCTCGCGCAGGAGGCTGCGCGTGGACGGGTGCTTGGGCGCCGTGGACGGTTTCGCCCTGCTGATCTCCCGCTCCGCTCGATTCTCCAGATTGAAGTTTCTGACGGCGCGGGTCACGCGAGCCCCCATCTCCACATGATCCCTTCAGCTCACACACACGTGGGGAAACTCCCGCACTGCCGACCTCTACGCACAGAGCATGCGCACGCCGGGGGTCACCGCCGGGCGCCCGGACAGCACGGCGCCCCCTGGCGGCCCGGAGGCGCAACGCTTCCTTCGTTCCCGTGCGGCGCGGCCAGCTTCGTGGTCGGCACCTTCAGCCCCGAGCGTCGGCCACGCAGAGGGACCCGAGAAGCCGCGACTCCCCGCCGACCGTGGGCCGAGGCGGGGATCTGTTCTCACGTGACCCCTAGGTTGCACAGTTCAGAGCTGCCGGGAGCAGAGAGCTCCCTGCGACCCCACGGGGCAGTGCTCAGGGTCAGGGTTCCGAAGCTACTCTTTCCTGTTTCGGTAGGGAATGGTTGCTCCGAGCTGCGCTTTCTTTCGGCAGCCCTCGTTCCCCTTCTCCCCGTCTCCGCTACATTTCCAAGCCACAGTTTTCTCCTTTTCAGCTAGCTTTACCTCCCGTTCTTCTAATGCATTGTACCGAATGCCCAGAGTCAGCTCCACCGTTCTTTCCCTTCTCCTTATTTCTAATTTGATTTACTCTTCTACAAGCTCTGAGTCATCGCGCTGTTCTCTACCCTGTTTATCAGCTCTGCTGCCTGTCTGTCTTACTGAAAAAAAGTCAGTGTCTTTGCGGAAAACAAACATTGCTTGTTCTCTCTCAGCATGTCTTTGTTCCCCCTTACTCCTCCCAAATTCCTTCCTCTTACTTTCTTTTTCTCTCTTTCCACTTCTTTTCTGAATGTATTTCTGATACTGATTTTAAGATTATTTAGAAATTTTGTAATGGATCCATAATTTTTTAAAACCCACTAAGAAGAAAGTAATACTTTAAGAATTTCTAATATTTCCCACAGACTGTCTGCAAAATCTGTTAGCTCAGAATCTTACCTCAATGAAGTGAAATAGATGGGTTTTTTAAAAACTAGTATTGTTAAGTTGAAAACTCAATCACTGAAAGTACTGCAAGGAATGCAGCTTTTCACTGTTGCTCGAAATAAAACATCTTTACAGAAATTGATATATGGATATAAATTGGCATGGGTGCACAGAATCTAAAACCAGTTTTCTCTGATAGCGAATTGGTTAGTTATCCTGAAGGTGGCAGGCTGCTCCAAGGTTTGCATCTTTGAACTTTTAAGCAGGTTCATAATCAAGAATTTTTAGCCAGTTTCTATGGGTGCCAACAAATTTTCACTGACTTCATTAAATCTATTATGTGCCTTAGAAATATCGTAGACTTTCACTCAGGGCCTGTTAAAATATTTCAAAAGCGAAAGTTTCATTTTCATTAAATTCCACTGACCTTACCGGCAGCATGAAAATAACTTTAGAAGTCACCTGAGTGTTCAGGGCAATGGAGGTCACAAAATTAAAGTATTGTGAAATACTTTCAGTCAGAGCTTGGATTCGGCCTTTAAGAAGTGTTCTGGGCCCGTGCATGGTAGAACTACCCTTTAATCCCAGGACTTGGAAGGCAGAGGCAGGTGGATTTTTGTGAATTCAATGCCCACCTTGGTCCACATAATGAGTTCCAGACCAGTTCCAGATCAGCTACTGCTATGAATAAGACCCTGTCTCAAAAAAAAAAAAAAGCATTCTGCATTTATCTAGGCCTGACCTGGTCCTAGAAGACCAAAACATTACAAACAGGCCCCCTTTGGAAACAAAACCGGAACCATAAATGCCTAATGTGTTTTTTCTTACCAAAACATACAAATTAACAGAAAGTCTGTGCTTAAGAATTTCCCTCCAGCTTATGATCTGCAGACCAGCAGCTCCATCTCAGGTTTCAGAGCAGATTTATTTCAGTTTCATATTTTATTCCAGGCGAGTGCTTGTTACATGGATAGAGTTCATGTCTCAATACCTAAAATCTTGGTACATGAACAGCCACTAGGAATAAGTTCAATAGCAAAAATACAAAATGTACAAAATTAGGGGTTTTGTAGTTTTTTTTTTCCACAGAGCAGATGTTTATAGAGGACAGTGAATGATACTAGTACCAAGTATTGTCAACACACTCAAACAGAAAGTTTGTTTTTTTGAGAATAGAGATTTTTGTTTTATTTCCTGCTGTATCGATATACAGTGCTAGTACAAAGTAGGTACTAAAAAAATGTCAAAGGAACAGAGAGCCCAGTAGGACCGGTGAGGACAAGGCCAGGCCCTAGACAGGCTGACCTTAACTGAATCAGCCCTACTGCCGGTTGTGGGCCCTTGTGCAAATTACTGACTCTGATTAAACCCACTAAACTTAAGTAAAATTGGATTGATAGTAATTACTTAACCAATTTTAGAATGTAATATTGAAGTTAGAACATGACATCAGGGTGCCCTCCCTCATAGCCCCTCCCACTCTCAGGAGTTCTTGCTCACTTTTCCTTTATAAATCTACATTCCAAAACAAACCAACAAATGGGAAAGAGATTTGATATTTACATTTCTTTCCATTTTCCAGACAGGCAAGGGAAAATCTGAAAAAGAATCAAAGAATCGCTGAAGGTCTGACAAATGGAGGTGAGATAAGTATAAAAAGACTGTAGAGCCAAAGAAAAGTAAGGTTCAGCTTTCAAACTTTTGACAAAAATACTAACACTTGTTGACTCGCAGTCACGTGGTGACAGTTTTGTCCTCAGGGACGCCGGCATATTGGTAGCAATTACTTCAAAGGTTTAAAATGCCACCTGTCTTTGCCTGGCTTTAGCTGCAGGAAAGTCTCAGTCTTTTTTCCCTTACTGTTGTATAGTACTTTCCTCCTAACTGAAATGTTCCTTCCTGAAGAGAACAGGGAAGCTTAGTGTGACTCAGGAAGTAAACAAGCATCACAGGTCTAGGAAAGCTGAAACTTACAAGATTCCCAAATCCAGTCCCTAAGGTTATTACACAGCAATAACAATTTCTGGGGAGAGGATGACCCTTTGACCTATGGAGCTGCCTGAAGTGGTACAGACAGCTTTAGGGGTGCAGCTTTTCTGAGCTGTCACCCAGCTTTAGCTGCCTTTGAGTAATCCATTCTCCTGTAAGTAATCCTTCACCTGTAGTTGTGTAAGAAGCCCCACCCAATAAACTCATTGGTTTCCAAAGCTGGACTTCAATGAAATCATTGCTTTGGTCTGTCATTGCTTCTCTATCTAGAGTGAGTTCATGTCACCCCAGGAAAAGTCATTCGGCATTCACAGTTCTCGGTCTTTCTCTTTCTGTATAGACTTCAGACATTATACACCCCTTCCTTTGAACATACTTCAACTGCATTCTTTGTCCTTCAAAGGATTTCAGAAACAGTACTCAGGAAGCAGGTAACTAGAACCCACAGCAGACCCTAAATGTGTCATCAAACAGACCCCACCCACAAGTGTGCTCAGGGAAGATTTATAGATATGCTGACAGAGGAATTTATTGTTCATGGAAAATCTCTCCAGAACCTGTACTCCAGCTCAGAAGCTGCACTTCCTGAAGGTTCCATGACCTTCCCCTAACAGAAACACCCAAGTGTTCAAATGCTTGAGTCTATGGGGGACATTCTGATCAAACGACCATACCAAGCTTGGCCATTTTCATAGTGACATAGTGTTGCTTGTTTGTGAAACCTAGAACTGTGGGACCAAATACATTAGGCTGTGTACAAATCTGGTACTCAAAGTGAGAAGCAGTGGGTCTCATAATTATGTTGACATGAAGCACAGCTCTCATTTCAAAGGGAATAAGATATGAGTGACCATGACTTGGGAATATAACTTGAGATTGTTTCAACTAGCATGATCCAATATGGAAGCAGTTATATGGGCGTGCAGGGATCTCGGGGCACCAGCTGCTGGGCGTGGCGCCGGTCTCCCACACGTCGCTGGAGTGCGGCGGGTCCCGCGGGCCACGTCTGCTGTTTGGGTCCCTGGCTCTCCACCACTGGGGTGCATGGGTTTCGCGCACCACATTGCTGAGGGTCTCTGCTACCAGAGCTGGCGGCTCTAGGACCGCTGTCAGCTGCCCGGTCGGTTCCGTTTCAATTTCCACCGTGCACTCCCTCTGTGTTTGAGACCTGTTGGCCACCAGGTCACGAGGGGAGGTGCGGGACGGTGAAAGCAGGGTCTTCGTGGGTCGATGACGGAAGGATAGCCCCCCCCCCCGGGAGACTGGATCACAGGATTTAGTGTTACAGCTTCAGACAAGTGACTCAGCTCAGATCTCAGTGATTCAGCTCCAGCTTTATTGGGGTAAAACTAGGATTATTTATAGTGTGGAGACAGTAGAAAAAGCCTTAGCTGATAGGTGCTCCTGGAATGCTTCATTTACATAGGGCGGTGGGCTTCTATCAGGCTATCAGATAATGCCTGATTAAAGCCTGGTAGTTTCTGTGCCGGAGGGCATGTATCTGTGATGGCATTTCAAAAGTAAGTCAGGGAGGAGAGCAGAAGGCGCCCCGCTGAGAAGGGGAGTCTCCCCATTTGCACCGAGCCAGCTTGCGGCTATCTGGACATGGGGAGACTGCTACCCTAAACAGCAGGGGTCCCCAACATCTCCCCCTGTTTGATTTAAAAATGGAGAAGTGCCATCACCAGCCCTAAGAACCAACTCATCCTTTTCTTGGGAGAATCCAAAGTCTGATCATTGACCATGACCTGTTTTGTAGCAATTTTCAGCAATGACAGTAATTTGTTGGTGAAGAAATCTTATAAAACAGGAAGCAAGTATCAAAATAATATACAGTATTACCGGGGGGCCAACAAGGGTTACTAAAACCAACCTAATTGTTTGGTGGGTGAAATCTTGAAAATGGATCATTACAGAGTGTTAACATTGGTTTCAACAACATTTGATTCATTTACAAAGAAACAGCATTTTTTCTCAAATATCATACACCCTCCCCATATTTATCAAGTCCAATGTTCTTCTGTTGTGGAGCACAACCCTGGCGAGAGAGTTCATTTGTTGTTGGAGAGAAGGCTTCAGTCGCAGATGTTATTGCTTAGTTCAGCTTGTCTCAGCCAGAGCAGGATCAGGTGCAGCTTGTAGCAGTTGTCGCCATAGCAACGCCTCCAGCATCCAGTGC